AATGCTGGAGGTCGGTGCCACAAGTGCACTCCTGCTCGGTGATGCTGTCTGGCTCACTGGTGATCTGGGTGGCGTAGGACCCGCTGTGTTCTTGGCGGCCTTGGACATAGGGCCTGCTGAGTTCGACATCGGACCTGCGTTGGGTCGTGGCATCTGTTGCCGACAATTGCGAGCCAAGAGCAAGCTGACGGCGTCATGGGTTCTTGCCTGATGTGTCGGGTGGTCTGGTGGTTAGTCAAACAGTTTTCTGACTTGAAGAGGTCCACGGAAACAATCTGGGGCGCCGAAACGTCTGGGAGAAGTCCAAGCCTGCATTGAGAAGGTCAGCTGGAACAGTCAAGCGTCACGAGCGACAAGGTCCGGTGACAGTCTGTAGAAATTGTCATTGCATGAGCCGAAACAGATGCCCACAAAGGGGATCAAGACACTGACCGAAGCCCGGACGCAGTGCCTAAACACACTTGATATGAGACAGCGAGACTGACAATGTGCACCCCCATGCAGGCACAGGCTGTTTGAAGGTCTCCGGCAGGGCAATGGAGTTTCGGCACCGAGGAAGTCTAGACATCTTTCGCCAACGCACTCTCCTCTTCCGGACCGCCAGCAGTGCGTTAGTTACTCCATGCTAGATCATCCAAGGCGGTGGCGGCCGACTCCAAAAAGAGAGAGAGAACACCGCGGAAACCCCTTAGGAACAGGGGGGCCACACACACACACACACGCAAAGCGACCAATCAACCAAACACACAGACAACCAGCAGAATCAAACAAACCACAAAGACACAAACAAACACCCAAAGAAACGACCAACCAACCAACCAACCAACCAAAACAAACAAACAAACAAACCAAGAAACACACACACAAACAAACACATAAACAACCAAACAAAAGCACACACACACATATTTACGTTGTCAAACAAACAACCAACCAACCAACCAACCAACCAAACAAACAAACAAACAACCAACCAACCAAACAAACCACTAAACAAACAAACAAACAAACAAACAAACAAACAAACAAACAAACAAACAAACAAACAAACAAACAAACAAACAAGCCACCAAAAAAACAAACCAACAAACAAGACAAACAAGACAAACTAGAGGACGATTGGCCCGAAAGCATTTTTCCCCAGGTGCGCATCCAGCCGCGGAGACACCTTTTTACATCGCTGCGGCGAGCGTGTCTGCGCGCGGCGATGCTCAATGTGTATGGTCACATGAGAGCTCCATCTCATCGTCCTACCAGAACAAACATGGCAGTGCTCGATCCCACATATTTACATCCGTTAAAACAAGAATAGTAAAGCTCGTAAAGCTCGAAACGAATTACAAGCAAAAGGAAAAGCAATCAATAGCAAAGCCTACACGACGGCCACAGTTTTCTGCAAAGCACGTTCGCGCAACTTAGCTCTGTGCAAGATGGCTCTGCGCAGCTTGGCTCTGTGAAAGTTGGCTCTACGCAAGCTACTTTTCGCGAGTGGCTCTGCGCAACTGGCTCTGTGCAAGTTGGCTCTGCACGAGTCTGCTCGGCGCAATGTGCTTTGCACGAACTGCGCCGCACGATTTCTCACGAAAGTGGTCTGCGCAAGCTACATTGTTCCAGGCTGCTGCGCGCAAGTTGCTCTCTGCAAGCTGCTGCCCGCAAGTGCTCTGTGCAAGTTGCTCTGCGCAAGTGCTCTGAGCAAGTTGCTCTGCGCAAGTGCTCTGCGCCAGTTGCGCATGTGCTCTGTGCAAGTTGGTCTGTGCAAGTTGCTCTGCGCAAGTGCTTTGTGCAAGCGCTCTGTGCAAGTTGCTCTGCGCAAGTTGCTCTGCGCAAGTTGCTCTGCGCAAGTGACTCTGCGCGAGTTGCTCTGCGCAAGTGATGCCGGAGCTGTGGGAATGTACTTTGCGTACTATTTTTGTGCTTAAAAGTTGCGATTTTCCAGCCGGAGCTGCGGGAGTGTGCTCCGCGTACTACGTTTTGTACTTAAAAGTTGCGATTTTCCAGCCAGAGCTGCGGGAGCACGCTCCGCATACTACGTCTGTACTTAAAGTTGCGATTTTCCAGCCGGAGCTGCAGGAGCACGCTCCGCGTACTACGTTTGTACTTTAAAGCTGCGATTTTCAAGCCGGAGCTGCCGCGGACCAGGGGAAATCGAACCCGCGACCGCGGGATTGCGAAAGCAGGCGCGCAAACCACGAGCCAACTTCCAAAGGCCATTTCGCGAGCGACAAAATCGCACGGTCACGCACGATCTCCGCAGAGGGTTCGCCGAGACTAAGAAGAATTCGCACGGCGCCACAGCGAGAGCGCTTCGACACGCACGATCTCCGCAGAGGGTTCATCCGGGAATGTCAAATAAAACGTAAAAAACCTCGAGCTTTTGCGCCTCGACCACGCCGATCTCCGCAGAGGGTCGCGCAGGCATATTAAAAAAAGCAAAAAGCCTCGAGTTTTTGCACCTCAACCACGCCGATCTCCGCAGAGGGTCGCGCGGGCATATCAAAAAACGCAAAAAACCTCGAGTTTTTGCACCTCGACCACGCCGATCTCCGCAGAGGGTCGCGCGGGAATATCAAAAAACGCAAAAAAGCCTCGAGTTTTTGCACCTCGACCACGCCGATCTTCGCAGAGGGTCGCATTCCCGATCGCCGGCAACATCCCCACCCCCCGCCTTAAAAGAGATTCTTAATACCGAGCTCTTTCTCTTTCTTTCCCACGCGTTAAGTACTTAACCTAATAAAATTACTTAACCTAGCTTACACAGCTGCTACCGCCGAGCCTCTACACCTAGCTTAGCTCCGCTCTATGCACCTAGCTCTATGCACTTGGCTCTATGCACCTGGCTTCGCTCTTTGCACTTGGCTCTGTGCACTTCGCTCCTTGCACCTCGCTCTTTGCACTTCGCTCTGAGCACTTGGCCCTATGCGCTTGGCTCTTTGCACTTGGCTCTTTGCACTTGGCTCTGCGCAAGTAACTCTATGCTGGTGACTCTATGCTGGTGCCTCTGCGCAAGTATCTCCATGCTGGTGACTCTGTGCAAGTATCTCCATGCTGGTATCTCCATGCTGGTGACTCTGTGCAAGTATCTCCATGCTGGTAACTCTGTGCAAGCTACTCTGTGCTAGTAACTCTGCGCGAGTATCTCCATGCTGGTATCTCCATGCTGGTGACTCTGTGCAAGCTACTCTGCGCAAGTTGACCAAGAGCTCCTGATATCTCCATGCTGGTGACTCTGTGCAAGCTACTCTGCGCAAGTTGACCAAGAGCTCCGCACGGAAGAACCCTTCGCAAAGCTTTCGGGAACAAAAAAAACACACACACATATACGTTGCCAAACAATCAAGCAAGCAAACAAACAAAACACACAAGCAAACATTCAAACACAGAAACAAACAAACAAACAAACAAACAAACAAACAAACAGACAAACAAACAAACAAACAAACAAACAAACAAACAAAAAAACAAACAAAAAACGAGACAAACAAGACAAACAAGACAAACAAACAAACAAACAAACAAACAAACAAACCACCAAACAAACAAACAAACAAACAAACAAACAAACAAACAAATAAACAACCAAACAAACAAACACACACACACATGCATTGTCAAGCAAACAAAAACATGACCCAATACATAACCAAATAACCAACCAAACAATTAAACGACCAAACAAAAAACACACAGCCACACAATCACACAACCACACAACTACGCAAACAAACACCCACACACACACACAATCACACAAACAAGGAGAAGGGCTGGATAAGGGTTGGATGAAGGATGTTTGGAAACGGCCATTTGCTGCCCAATATTAAGAATCAGGCGACCGTTTCACCTCGCAATCGCAGACTTTTGGAAGAATGAATGCCGAAGCGTGTTGTTGAAATTGCGTCCACGTGTAAAGCTTTGTGCCATGTCCGATATGTTTTCTCCGCAGACACGCCTGCGGAGGCCTGTGTGACCAGGGAATTGCCAACACACAGCTTGGCGCGTCGAGGGCTGACCTCAGATTAGCATAACGCCTTTCTCCTTTCAAGTGTCAAACACTGGACCAACCATCTCAATGAAGCCTGCTCCTTTTTAAGCCTTTAATAGTGCCTAACGAATGCCTCATCAAGCGCTCAATAAGCATATGATAAGACCTTAATAAGCCCTTAATAAGCTCTTATGGACAAGCCAAGGGTAAGCCAGGAGACGCTAGGATAAGCCAGGATAAGCCAAGGACAAGCCAGGAGAGGCCAAGGTTAAGCAAGGAATAGCCAAGGATGTGCCAGGATAAGCCAAGGATAAGCAAGGATAAGCAAGGATAAGCCGAGGATAAGCCAGGATAAGCCGAGGATAAGCCAGGATAAGCCAAGGATAAGCCAGGATAAGCCAGGATAAGCCAAAGTTAAGCAAGGATAAGCCAAGGATAGGCCAGGATAAGTCAAGGGCAAGCCAAGGATAAGCCAAGGATGAGCCAAGGATAAGCCAAGGATAAGCCAGGAGCCTCAGGAGAAGCCACGGACAAGCCGAAGTACAAAGTTGAACAGAACCCAAATCCCAAGGATAAGACAAAAATAAGAATGAGTTCTTAATAAGGCATTAACAAGCATGCTATCTTACTTGTCCCTTGTTCAGGCCTTAATAATGGCTTTAGCTATTTTGCTGGAGAAGGGCGTGCCAAAACCTTATTAAGGGCTTAATAAGGCTGGATAATCCCTTATTACGGCCTTATCCTGAACTGCGCTGGCAAGGTCAGATCCAGTGCTTGTGAATAAGCCCATTAGACCCCCCCCCCCCAACCAACCAACCGACCAACCAAACAAATAAACAAGCAAGCAATCAATCAAGCAGGCAGGCAAGCAAGCAAACCAACAAAACACAGAAACAAGCAAAGAAGCACCCACACAAACAAAACCCCCCAAAGAAAAAGGAAGAAGAGAACAAAACGGGTTCTCCAAGACAAGGGAACCGGGTTCTCCGCGGCCGTGCTGGCCCCCCCCCCCTGGGGCCTCTTCGAAGATCTTGCCCATGGCTTTCAGGTCCAGCGCCGCATAAATCTGCTCCGCCACGGCGGGCTCGAAGCCCATCCGCCCGGCGGCGGCCTCGAACCTCGGCGCCCGTCGACCTCTCCCCTGGGAGTGGGAAACTGGTAGTGGAGCTGGGTTCCTCTCGGTGTCGCCTTGTCCGAAAAGAGCCCCCAAAAAAACAACAACAAAAAAACAAGAAGATGAGGAAGGGCTTCAATTTGGATCTCCAAATACCAACCTCGCAAGAGACACAGATGCATTGTGTTCTGGTTGTTTCTGCAGGGAGGCTGAAGGATGCCAACCCAGATTTTCAGACTAAACCCAGAACTTCCAATGAGGGCTGATCTCGTGCGGTGTGTCGTGCATTTCCTCTGCAAATGGAAACTGTCAAGTCAAAGAATCAGATTCAACTTGGCAGTGGCAGACCAGGAACATCGCAAAGCTGGCGGAGAACAGAGCGCACTTAGATCGTCTCAGTACGGCACTGGGTGGCATCTTTATTGATGAGTCATGACCTTTTCTTGGTGAACAAAACTTGGCATTCTCCACTGCTAGGAGGGAGAGAGAGAGAGAGAAAGAGAGAGAGAGAGAGAGAGACAGAGAGAGAGAGAGAGAGTCCAAGTCTGAGCTACAATCGCCACCGAGCGCCGCTTCTTGCAGAGGAGTCTCTCCTCTTTGGGGACGTAAAGGTTTCTGTCCACATCCAGCACCTTGAAGGCCGTCTCCACACCTGAGAGGGTGAAACCTCTGGTTGCGGGTGTTCCATGGAGGGCCATCCCTTTTCGCGGGAAAGCTGAGCTCCTGGGGCTCCGACTCCTGAAATGCTGCAAGATGTACTTGTGGAAGCGTGCAAGTGCCTCGCCCCCACTCACCCCCCCCCGGCCCCACACCCGGCGCGTCGCGTCGCGACGCGCGCAGAGCCGAGTGGCCTGGGCATTCTCGTAGTCAAACTCCTCCACAGTCACGCAGCCGTTGGCGTCCTTGTCCAACAGGTACCACATTGCCCGAACGTCCTGCCACTGGCTTGGTGCATGGCAAGGTCATGAGGGCCAACTGGCTCGTAGGATGTTCCAGCCCTTGCAAGGTCTCGCACCTCTTGACCACTCGCACATTGCTGTGACTTGTTACACGTTCCACCTAAGGAACTTCGTGGGACACAACTGGAGCATGCTGGCAATGCAGACCCAAAACAAAGGCCTGTGAGAATACTACACGTCAAATTTGTCCATTCCGGCAGGGCCCCATTTCGCAAGCTCTGTAATTACATGTGTTCTTTGCCTGACAGGCTTCCAAACTGCAAGCTGCTTGTGCCGCTCCTTGCGCCAGCCCAGCTCAGCGCAAGCCTTTAGGAACTGCGGCTTCTGCATGGACATTGTGTTTCCTCGGACCCCGAAATGGAACCCAAAAATGAGTTTGACACCTGGCCACTCGCTTCGTTTGAAACCAACCCCGGAAATGCGCAACTTCCACAGAAGACTCGGCGTGAGATGCAGGTGCGCGTGGCGACATGATGGCCCAAGCGGCGAGTGCAGAATGCAGCACGCCAGGCACGCACCAGAGAGCCCCCAAACTTCTTCTTCAGCATTTGCCTGGCCACTTGAGGGAGCATGAGACGTCAAATGCTTTGAAGGAGCACATTGAGGCTGCGGCTTGAATTCAAGTAAAGTCTTGCTGGGGTTGTATTTCACCCGTCTCTCCTGCAGCCTTTGCTCCTAGGCTGCAGAAAAAACGGCTCAGCGAACACCGAACCCCCCTGACCATGTGGGAACACGGGAAAACAGTGCCATGCACCAGCCTGAAAGGCTGCCTGTCTGGCCTTCTCCTGGACACGCATGCCGGCATGCCTCCAATCTCATACGAATCCTCGAGACATGCAGAAAAAGGCTGTTGCGACAAACAAAAACAGGTTGTGTTCTTCTTTGTTTTAAAAAAAGAAAGTGCGCGAGCAGGTGTGTGTCAAGCCTTCCGCAGTGATCGCCGTACTTCGACGCCCAACCATTTCCTTGCATCAGAATGGGTGCAGTCAGGATTTCTAATCTGAGACTGGCAAGGAGCATGTTCTCTGAAGTCAGCAGCTGCTTGTCTGCACCTGGGTGTGACACCAAACAGCTTGAAGCTGCAACTACCAAAGAACGCAGTCTAGGTCAGACAAGGCGCTCATTGCATCGAACAGCAGGTCTTCTTGCCCCTCACACCAGCCAAGTCTCTGCAGAGCGTCTCGGAACTGCCTTGCCAGTATTTCACATCCAAGTGATCTCACGCCATCCATGCACAAGCGCACCGGAGAATCGCCGAATGCCCGAACGGCGTCTAGGCAGAGCACTCAAAGGTAATGGTGACCTCATCGATGGGATCCCAGGCATTGCACTCGCCGATGTTTCGCATGAAGTCCTCAGGAACTTCGATTCATCTTCGAAGCGAATAATGTCGTTAAAGCAGCAAAATGTTCTGGCAGCTTGCAGGTCCTCGATTCCTCTCCGGA